ATCTCATTCAACACCAGAGCGTTCATAACATAAGTAACATAACAGAGTAAAACCCGACGGATGCTGTGAGTGTGAGTCTCCTTGCACTTCAAGGGGCTCGCACTGGCGAAAGCCCTTCCAAGTGCAGGGATTGTGCGAAGAAGTCCTTCGGTCAGAGCTTCACTCTGGTGACAAGCCACGCGGGTGCTGCAGATGTAGGAAATCCTTTCGCCATCCCCCCACCCTCACTCATCACAAAAGGGTTCATGCTGGTGGAAGCATGAGTGCAGGCAGTGCATCTGGGAAAGCCTTCGCCGGCAACCCCAGCCTGATTAAACACCGGAGAGTTCACGCTGGAGAAGGGCCTTCCCAGGGCAATGATTGTGGGAAACTCTCCCCGAACAGCCCTTTTGGGGGCAGTGAATGTGGGAAGGCCTTCAGCCGTTGCTCCGACTTCTGCTGCTTTTCCCAGGTGCAGTGACTTTACCCGCTACAACACAATGCTGGCCCCTTTTGTAATGGTTTTTATTTCTGTAAAATCAATAATAGTCCCTGCTCTTGTTTCTAATTGTTTCAGTAATTTGGTTTTCTCTCTTTGGTAAAAATAGCTAAAGTTTGGTTATAATTGTTCATCTTTTTGAACCACTGACTTTGGTTTTGCTGACTCTATGTTGTTTTTCTGTTCTCTAGGTATCTCTAATGTCTTTATTCCTCCCTTCCTCCTACTAGCTTTGGCTTGGTTTTTTTTTAAATTTTATTTGAAAAAGAGATAGAGATCTTCAATCTACTTGTTCACTCCCCAAATGACTGCAACAGCCAGGCCTGGGGCAGGCTAACACCAGCATTTGGGAGCTCAATCCATGTCTCTCTCATGAATATCAGGGACTCAACTACTTGAACCATCCCTGGCTGCCTCCCAGGGTGTGCATTAGCAGGAAGCCGGATCAGAAGTGGAACTGAGACGCAGATCAGGTACTCCAGTATGGGATGCAGGCAGCCCAAATGGTATCTTAGCTGCCAAGCTAAATGCCTGCCCTAGTTTTGGGTTTCAGTTTGTTTTTCTTTTACTAGTTCTTTAAGTTGTAAAGTTAGATACAACTTTTTAAAAAATTATTTGAAAAATAGAGAAAGAGAGCAAGAGTGCCCATCTGCTGATTTATTCCCCAAATACCCGCAACAAGCAGAGCTGAGTCAGGTCAGAGCTGGGAGCTGGGAGCTGAATCCAGGCCTCCCACGTGGAGGGCAGGTCCCCAAGTACGTGAGCCATCACCAGCTGCCTCCTGGGCTATGCATTAGCAGACTGTTGAATCAGGAGAGGGGCTGGAACCCGACCCAGGTGCACAAAAACGGGATGTGGGTGCCCCAAGCATGATCCTAACTGCCATGTCAAACAGCCCCAGAGTGAGATTTCTGATCTGAGGTCTTTCTTCTTGCTTAATACAAGCTTGATAGCTGTAAAACTACCTTTTAGGACTGCTTTGACCACATCCCATACATTTTGGTAGGTTGTATTTTCATTTTACCTCTATTTTATGGCTTCTTTTGTGATGTTTTTCTTCGATATACTGATTATGTTATTTAATTTTTACAAAGTTATGAGTTTTCCAGTTTTCCCTTTGCTCTTTTCTCTTTCTCTCTCTCTCTTTTTTTTTTTTTGACAGGCAGAGTTAGACAGAGAGAGAGAGAAAGGTCTTCCTTCTGTTGGTTCACTCCCCAAATGGCCGCTACGGCCAGTGCTGCGCCGATCCGAAACCAGGAGCGAGGTGCTTCCTCCTGGTCTCCCATGCAGGTACAGGGCCCAAGGACCTGGGCCATCCTCCACTGCCTTCCCGGGCCACAGCAGAGAGCTGGACTGGAAGAGGAGCAACCGGGACAGAATCCGGCGCCCCAACCGGGACTAGAACCTGGGGTGCAGGCAGAGGATTAGCCTAGTGAGCCGCAGTGCCGGCCTGCTTTTTTTTTTTCTAGCTTTATCCTGTTGAGGTCAGTGAAGAGACCGTGTATTAAACTGTATTAAACTGATTTTTAATGACTATTCATTCTTGGGATGAGCAGAGGCGTGGTTGTGGTGAAGGTAAGACTTCACCAGGTGTTTTTTAGGTATTCGCCTTTGTGTGTGTGTGTGTGTGTGTGTGTGTGTGTGTTTTGCTAAAGTTTGGGCTTTCTCATCACTCTTGCAAGCACATGTTATCTTTGGTCCTTTGGAAAGACAACAAGTAAAATTCCTTGAATATCCCAAACAAACTATTGCTATGATTTTCTCTTGACTGGTCTGCTCCTGTCTTTTTTTTTTTTTTTTAATCTATATTGTAGTTTTCTGAGCCCTGTACTAAAAATCACAATTTTCATGTGGGGAAATTAGTTACACGAAGCAATTCAAAGATGGTGCCCAGAGGAAGTAAGGTGGGTGAAATCCAAAGTTGTTTACCACTGAAGCTAATTGGCTATGCAACATCAGGGGAGGTAACAAAACTAGTAACAAGTGTATAGACATATGGCTAGTCCTACAGAAATCGCCCTGTAAAATGACCGTTTAAGTGATTGGTTGGTCCTTAGCCCTGCCCCAATGACTCTGCAGTTTTGTGCTATAAAAGGCTCTGTTATGCGCGAAATAAACGAGTTCTTGCTAGACTTGACTTGACTCCCCGCTGCGTCTCATTGTCTGATTGTCTCTGGGATCAGGAGGCTGGGGAACGGGTGAGCGGCGCACTTACTTTTCCTTGGACCCAGTCCGTCCTGTACGGGTGGCCTAAGACCCTGCATTTCATACTCAGACTATCACGACCCACGCCCATGGGAATCTCTGGCTATTTTGTGTCTTTGAAAAGATCCTAATTTTTTAAAGAATCATTGCTCTCTGTCCCAAGCTGTTCCACAATCACCTGTAATCACCTCTGTCCATTCCTGGAAGTAGTCATTTCTCCAGAAAGTCTTGGCTAATTTTGGGAAGAATGCTATTGAAGGAAGAACGTTACAGACTGAGTATGTCTCCTCCAGATGCATACGCTGAAGCCCCAATCCTCAACGTGATGCCATTTGAAGGTGAGAAAACAATTCCCCATAGTGGTAAGCACACTGGCTCTCCTGTTTGTTAACTATACTGGTCCCCTGTTGATATCTAAGTATAAAATTTCATGCTTTCAACCTTGCGAACATTAAATAATGTTTATTATCTTTCCCAAAAAGTTCACTGGTATGATTATTCTAATACTTTAAACACAAGAATGACAAATGAAGCCTTTTTTTCTGAATTACATTATAAATTCTCTAATTCAGACAGGCCCTGACTTACAATAGTTTGAGTGTTGATTCTTTGGCTTTATGATTGTGTGAACTGATATGCATTCAGTAGAAACCGCACTGTAAACTTTAATCTTTTCAGTAAATTACATGAGATATTCAGTATTTTATTATAAAATGGACTTTGTGTTAGATAACTTTTCCCGGGTGTAGCCTACTATAAATATTCTGAATATGCTTCAGACAGACTAGGCTAAGTTATGATATTCAGCAGGTTATGTGTGTTGTATTAAGTGCATTTTCAATGTCTGACATTTTCAACACAAGATGGGTTTATACTGACAGAATCCCACTGCAAGTCAAGGGGCATCTGTATCAGAAAAATGAAAATATCTCTGGAAATCTACCAACAATCTTTGCATTTTGAGTTTTTCTTGCCAGCATGAGTTCTCAGATGCTGAACAATGAGCCGCACATGAAAGACTCCACATTCCCACGACTGAAAGTCTTTCCACATTCCTCACCTGCATATGGTTTCTCTCGAGTGTGAATTCTCAGATGCTGAACAAGCTATGCACCAGTGCTGAAGGCCTTGCCACATTCCTTACCCTCATAGGGTTTCTCACCAGTACGAAGTCTTTTGTGTTGAACAAGGTATGGAGAACAGCTAATGGCTTTCCCACATTCCTCACATTCATAGGGTTTCTCACCATTACGGATCCTTTGGTGTTGAACAGGGTATGAGCTACTACAAAAAGCTTTTCCACATTCTCTTCACATGGCTTCTCACCAGTATGGATACTTTGGTAAGTAAGTTGTCCAGACACAGAAAAGGCCTTTCCACATCCCTCACACTCACAGGGCTTCTCACCAGAGTCAATTCTCTCATGTTGAACACCATATGAAAAGGTACTAAAGGCCTTTGAGCATTCCTTACACCCAAACTGTTTTCACTAGTGTGAGTATTCTGATGCTGAATAAGTCTCCCCTAGGCTATAAGAGCTTTCCCACATTCATTACCTTCATAGGGTTTCTCACCAATATGGATCCTTTGGTGTTGAACAAAGTATGAGCTACTACAAAGCTTTTCCACATTTTCTACACACAGGTGGCTTCTTACCAGTATGAGTACTCTTGATGTACAATACGTTGATGGCTGCTGAGAAAGGCCTTCCAACACCCCTTATGTTCATGTGGTTACTCACCAGCATGCCTTCTCCCATGTTTAACACAGGCTGAGCCTTGACTAGAGGCCTTCCCACATTCTTTACATTCATACTTTTCTTAACAGTGTGAGTTCTCTGATGTTGAACAAGATATGAAGAAGCACTAAAGCCCTTCCCACATGCCTTCCATTTACATGGTTTCTCACCCAGATACAACTTCTGATGTATGACACATTGATGTTCACTACTAAAGTCCCTCCCACATTCTTCCTGTTTTTCCTGGGTATGTGTTCTGCCATGTTGAACAAATGCTGAGCCTTGACAAAAAGTCTTCCCACATCCCTGTATCCAAATGGTCTCTCTCTGTTAAGAATACTCTGTTGTAGAGCAAAAGATGTACAATTTTTATCAGTGGACATTTCGTCATAATTGGTTATCTCACATTTCAATTGCAAATCTGAAAGCAAATTAAAATTTTTTTTTGTTTTCCTATGTAGAAAAAATAGATTCCTATGGAAGAAAAAAGGCAAAATACCATAATACTAAAATATAGTTGTGATAGTCAAAAAAGGAGGAATGAAGAGATTAATGAGAGTTTATATAAACTAAGGCTGGTTATTAGTGAAACAGGTGTCACTTTATTTGAAGAGCTAATTAAAACATTGACATTCAAGCACCCTCCAGACCCCCTGAACCAGAATACACAGCGAATGAATGTTCCTGTGCATCTATTTTTTTTAAAAAAGCATTTTACTGAAATATAATAAACATACCAAGAAATGCATGTAAGATTACAGATGAGTTCTTTGTTCTCTGATCACACTCCTAGCCAACACCCAAGAACAAAACATTACTAGTACCCCTAAGAGTCCTATCTTTCTTTTAATGTGGGAAAGAAGAGTATATTGTCATTCACATGGTATGATTAAGTGAAACAATATTTATAACTTATTGCCAAATTATATGACATCCACATAATTTTTATACTATTATATTAACTATCACAAATAAGAAAAAAATCTGTGATATTTATCTTTTGGGTTTGGCTTATTTCACTTAGCACACTGATTTCCAGTTGTATTCATTCTGTTGTAGATATATTTCATTTTTTTAATACTAAGTAATATTTCATCATGGATATATACATTTGGTATATAGGTATATGTGTGTGTGTGTGTATGGGTGGATATGTCTGCCCATCAGCTGATGGACATCTAGGTTGATTCCAAATGTTAGCTATTGTGAGTTGAACTGCTATTAACACAAGAGTGCAGGCAATTCTTTCATATGCTGATTTCATTTCTTTTGGATATATTCCAAAGAGTGAAATAGCTGGGTCATATGGAAGATTTATTTTTATTTTCTGAGGAATCTCCATACTGTTTAACTGGCATTCCCATCAACGTATTAGGGTACCTTTTTCTCTACATCCTCACCATCACTTATTGTTTGTTAATTTCTCTATGTAAGACATTCTAACTGGGGTGAGGTGAAACTTCATTGTGGTTTTGATTTGCATTTCCTAGATGGCTAGTGATCCTGAGCATTTTTTCACTTGTCTGTTGCTATCTGCATTTTATCCTTTGAAAAATGCCTGCTCATATCCTTTGCCCATTTCTTAGCAGGTTGTTTTGTTGTTGTTGGGCTTCTTGAGCTCCTTATGTCATCTGTATGTTTTTAATCCTTTATTGAATGCAGTTTGCAAATATTTTCTCCCATTCTGTCAGTTGCCTCTTCACTTTGTTATTTGTTTCCTTTGCTGTGCAGAAGCTTTTTAGCCTGATGTAATCCCATTTGTCAATTTTTGTTTTCATGGCCTGTGTTTCTGGAGTCTTATCCAAGAAGTCTTTGCCTAGGCCAATGTCTTAGAGCAGTTCACCTATGTCTTCCTCTAGTAATTTAATGGTTTCAGGTCTTAAGTTTAGATCCTGGATCCATTGAGTTGAATTTTGTATGTGGTTTAAGGTAGGGATCTTGTTTCAAACTTCTGCGTGTGGAAATCCAGTTTTCCCAACACCACTTATTGAAGAGACTATCATTTATACAGGAAATGATTTTAGCTAGTTTGCCAAAGATGAGTTTGTTGTAGATATAGATATGTGGATTCATGTCTGGGGTTTCTATTCTCTTCCATTAGTCTACAGGTCTACCTGTGCATCAAATTTTTAACATCTGTAACAAATGCTTGTGACACAGATGAAATTTTCACTTGTGTAACCTATATTTCATCCCTCCATCCCCTCCTCCACATTTCTCTCTGTACTTAAATTAAAATCCATCTAACTTTTCATAAATAATGTGGTCCTTGCTTACCTATCAGGCCTCATGCCAGGCCACATTTCTCTTGGTTCCTATTCACATCACTTCCCCTTTCAGCACCTAGAATGTATCACAAGCTTTCTCATCTTTTGGTTCCATGTGTAGGTGGTATCATTTCCCAGAAAGCCTTTGGCATGGGTTCTTTGCAGACCAGATCTTTCTCGTCCTATACATGTTTAAGGTAAAATGTCATTGCACCAAGAATGTTGTAAGCTGCTGGCTTTGTCTAAGAACATTCATTTCTTTATTTTCTGTTCCTATTACTTCATTTCTTTGCTTTCCCACTGGCTTTCAGTATATAAATAGCAATATATTCTTCATTTATTTCTCCCAAACTCCCTGTACTAGACATTATTTTAGCTCTCATGCCCTTTGCCCACTTGCTAAGCCAGTGAATATGTTGTATCACATGGCAAAGAAATACTTATCAGTTGATTTATGATAGGGACTAGATCACTCCAGATGGGCCCTCAAAGCAGAGCTTTTTCCTTGCTGGGGGTGCAAGAAGTCAGAGAGATTTAGCAGAAGGGAAGTCAGGATAGTCACAGCGTGAGAAGGATGGCTCCTGCCAGACAGAGATAAATTCTGCCAGTAACCGGTGAGCTCGGAAGAGGACCCTGAGCCCCAAAGAACAGCAGCTATGGTTGATATCAGTTTTTTCTCCACATATTTACTTAATTAACTTATTTGAAAGGCAGAGTGACAGGCAGAAGGGGAGGAACACAGATCTTCTATCCACTGGTTCACTCCCTAAATGGCTGCTATAGCCAGGTCTGGGCCAGGCCAAAGACAGGAGCCAGTGACTCCAGCTGGGTTTCCCACATGGGTAGCAGGGTCCCAAGCAATTGGGCCACTCTCTGCTGCCTTCCTATGCACATTAATGGAATTGAATCAGAAGTGAGCAGCTGGGACTTGAAGCTCCAATATGGGATGCTTGTATAACAAGCAGCAGCTCAACATGTACGCCACAATGCCAGCTGTAGTTGATATCTTGACTTGGCTATGCTGCACTGAACTTCTACTCTATAGAACTACAATTGAGGGTGGTTTTAAGCTACTAAGTCTATGATAGTTTATTACAAGCATAGTTTGTTACAAGCAGTACACATTAATACATTCTTCAAGAGTGGGCCCAACCCATGTCAATCAGCACAAAACTATAACCCATTGATATACAGAAGGAATTGGCTGATAACAAGCAACAAACAAAATCATTGGACAAAATAAGTTAAATCAGGATGTTAAAGGGCAATCATTGTCAATCCACTAATATGAATGAGGGAATCCTTGAAACAATGTCTAGAGTGAGACAGAGAAGGTATAGGTAAAGTTCAGATATCTTGTGCCAAAAAGGAAGGAAAATATCAGATTCATGGGTTCCTAAACTCTTCAAATTATATTAATTAAATATGTACAGCTTTTTGTATGTCAGTCATAGCTCAACAAAGTGGGTAAAAAAATTGGGATGGATATTTGGCGAAGTGGTATGATACCACTTTGCAATGTCTACACCCTGTATCAGAACACCTGAGTTCTAGTACCAGCTCCACTTCCAATTCTAGCTTCTTGCTAATGTACACTGTGGGAGGCAGCAGGTGATGGCCCAAGTCGTTGGGTCTCTGCCACCGAGCTGGGAATCTGATGGAGTTCCATAACTGGCCTAAAAGTCATCTTAAGAATGGGAGTAAGAGTTGGCAAATTACTTCATCTTTGTAAATATACACTGAACCAAATGTCTCAGCTTGGTCTAATTCTGTCAATCTAAGAAAATACTTTCACATTGTTATTTGGTATCCCTTTCTCAACACTTCTTCCTGCTTTTTTTAAAAAAAGATTTATTTATTTATATGAAAGTCAGAGTTACACACAGAGAGAAGGAGAGGCAGAGAGAGAGAGGTCTTCCATCCACTGGTTCACTCCCCAGTTGGCTGAAACAGCCGGAGCTGTGCCAATCCGAAGCCAGGAGCCAGGTCTTTCACATGGGTGCAGGTGCCCAAGGACTTGGGCCATCTTCTACTGCTTTCCCAGGCCATAGCAGAGAGCTGGATCGGACATGGATTAGTGGGGACTCTAACTGGTGCCCCTGCTTTTTTTTTTTTTTAAGATTATTTATTTATTTGAAAGGCACAGTAATAGAGAGAGGAAAGAGAGAAAGCATTCATTCCCTGATTCACTCCCCAGATGGCTGCAATGGCCAAAGCCTGGAACTTGGAACTCCATGCAGGGTCTCCCATGTAGGGGGCAGGGCCCAAAAACTTGGACTATGATCCACTGCTTTCCCAGGCGCATCAGCAGGGAGCTAGATCAGAAGCAGAACAGCTGGAACACAAACTGGCACTTTGACATGAGATCTCATCCTATTAACAAGGTGATCAGTCATCTTCTCAGGTCCCTGGGGAATTCCAAATCTTCTGACATGTGGTCCAATGAAGCCATCAGATGAAGCCCATGGCTCTTAACTCCCCAGCCACAGACTGCCCCGGGAGCTTAAACAATTTTCTAGGACATTTCACTCCTTCACTGCCCTATGGTAGCCCCCCGGCAAGATATCCCACATCGTACCTGCTCCGTAATTTACTCAATGAATGCATGAACGTCAGTTAGAAAAAAAAACAGTCTCATAAGGAGGAAACAGGTACTTGGCATCATTCCTCCAAACAGCAGGAATTCAAGAGGTAGGTGATTAGATGGTGCCGTCTTAGGCAGAACACTTCAGGCTAATTCATGAAAAATACTTATGTAACCTACAAATCCCAGCATTTCAAGGAGAAACACCGACTTATGTGAGCCATGCCTTTAGGAAGGTGAGAACCAATCCGTCTCTGTTGGAGTTCTATCAGACTCTGGGAAACCCAAGCTGGAAGAAAAGGAGGCTTCGATGTCCACAGATGAAGGAAGCCAATAAACCTCCTCGTCCCTCCCTGTCAGCCTCCTTACAGGCTACGACCACCTGCAGACAAGATCTGGGAAGGGGGGTGGGGGTCGAAGCCCACGGAACCCAGCCGCTCACAGCTGCACGCAGGGCAGACCTCTTCCTGCAGTGTTCCCGCCAGGCCCCTCTGGAGGGGCTGATCTACGCCTGACACTGGGCTCCATGGCTCCCCTTGACAGATTCTCCTCGTTCCACCCTAATACTCTGGATGTTGAAAAACAGTTCATATCACCCAAGCCAGAACTTTCTTCATGGTGCCAGGAGAGGGTGAGGTCAGCCAAGACAGGACAAGTGGAGAAAATAGAAGAACTCGATCAGGCTCGATTTTCTCATCACTAATACAGGGTTAAGAACACCAGTCACTACATATGGTTCTCCTGAAGAATAAGAAAACCCACAGAAAACACTTAATAGAAGAATTGTATAACATGAGCTAGCTGTTATTATTGAATTTATTATATGAAGAACATTACATGCCCTTTATTTCATTTTTACAAAAGAAGAACTTTGCTTCTATTTTTTATGGACACATCTCTCTGGCATGCTTTATTATAATTTTAAATACAAAATTTAGAAAGTAGCCTTAAGAATATCGTTCTACAGGGCTGACACTGTGGTGTAGCAGGTAAAGTCGCCTCCTGCAGTGCCAGCATCTCATATAGGTGCCAGCTTGAGTCCCAGCTGCTCCACTTCCGATCCAGCTCTCTGCGATGGCCTGGGAAAGCAGTGGAAGATGGCTCAAGTGCTTGGGCCCCTGCACCCACAGAGACCCCAAACCAGCTCCTGGCATTCGATCAGCTCCGCTCCAGCCATTGCAGCCATTTGGGGAGTGAACCAGTGGATGGAAGACTTTTATTTCTCTCTCTCTCTCTCTCTCTCTGCCTCTAACTCTGCCTTTCAAATAAATAATTAAAAAAAATCATTCTTAAAAAAAAAAAAAACAGAAAAGACACTTGAATTGACACTTAAATTTCTCCCACCCTCCAGCAACTAAAGAGGCCCCACTCTGATATGATGGCTGGAAATATCAAAGCTTGTCACTGGGAAAGTAATTTGTACGACAGGTCTTTGGAAATCCTTTTACCTGCACTAACAGCTTTTACATAACACTGCTATAATCCTTAAAAGAGATAATACAATTTTTCAATGATTTACTTATTTGAAAGGCAGAATGTCAGAAGGAGAGAGAGAGGGAGAGGGAGAGGCAGAAAGAGAAAGAGATCTTCCATCTATTGGTTCACTCTTCAAATGGTGGCAACAGCCAGGTCTGAGCCAGACCAAAGCCAGGAACCAGGAATTCCATCCATCCAGGTCTCCCATACAGATGGCAGGGGCCCAAGCACTTGGACCATCTTCTGCTACTTTTGCAGGTGCAGTAGGTACTCCAACACAGGACGTCAGCATCGCAAGTGGTGGCCCGGCCTGCTGGGCCACGCCAGCCTCGAGGGTCTTTTTCAGACAACAGGAGGCTCAGGGCGCGCTCGTCTCTTCCTGGAGCACGCATGCGCAGGGTATGAAGTCCACAGCCTCCTTTTTAAACTAAGAATTAAGAGTCTTTTGCTTCCTAACATAAGCGGTGTGATTCTATTCTAGACACAAAACAGAACCCTAGTCACAAGCTAGCAAGAAAGAGGGAGATGCATCCCTAAATAATAACTATTCTATCTTCAGGTTACTCATTTTTTTCACAAGTCTGTATTAACTCTGCCTTCAGAAATTTCATATGCACATCCATTAATTGTACTTTATCAATATAATTAGGCTCATTCACTAACAAGAGTCTTCTCTGGAAGACATAACTCTGGCTAAGTGTTGGTTATAGACTAAGAGAATGAATGCAAAGTGGACGGAATCTTGCCTACGGAAAAGATGCTCACAAACTTGCCAAACCCCTGTTCTCCTTCACTAAATAACCAAAATATTGCCCACAAGAACCTTGCAAAATATCTTAGAAAATCTCATATTTAGATGGGATTCCTAAAGAACTTAAACACTTCTTGACTACCACTGCCCGTAACTGTGCACATCTCGGGCTCACACGGGTACCCCTTCTCAGGACTAACCCTATCCACCGCCCACCAGTCCATCACGTGAGCGTCCCTGACCCAGCCAGCTGCACGGTCTTGAGCTCTGATCGTGCGCACGGCCATTCCCAGCACAGCCTCACATCCAGAACCAACGGAGGGAAAGGGAGCCGGGCGCTGCTTCCCCAAGCTCCCAGCCTGGCAGGAGGCGCAGTCTCCGCGCGGGAGGTCCCTTGAAGACCCCTCTGGCTCAGAAAGGTCAGCAGCGGTCAGCACGGTGCCGGGACACCGCATCCCGCAGCCCGAGGCCACCCAGACCGGCTTCCTGCTGGCGCACCCCTGGGAGGCAGCGCGGGCTCCAGGCTCCGGCCTGGCCCACACCTGGCCGTTGAGGGCATCTGGGGAGCGCGCCCGCGGAAGGGGGACCTGTCTGTCTCCCTCGCTCTCTCAAATACAGGAGTGACTGGATAAACACACACACGCGACAGAGAACTCGTGCAATCTTAGTTCTGCATCTCCTGCGGGAGAACATCACTCGAGGGCTTGGTAACCGCCCTGGCGCCGGCCCACCTGCCCGGTGCGGACCCGCGCGGCGGCTGGAAGCCGAGCCGAGGCCTAGGTCACGGCGGCACCCCCACAGCTAACGGACGCGGGGGCACCCAGTCCTCGCGGGCACGCGCACGAGCGCACGCAACGACCCCCGCGCCTGAGACCCCGCCAGAGCCCACGGAGCCTCCCTGCCCTCGCGCTCGCCGCCTGTTGGGGTCCGGGTCCCGCGCCGGCCCACGTCCGCAGAGGTCCCCCAGTTCCTCCCATTATTGTTGTCTTCTTCACTCAAGCCCTGGTTACGCCGTGGGGTTGGTCGGAGTCCGCAAAGCCCTTCCCCAGAGAACACGCACTGCCTTAGCCTAAGCTCGCTGCCGGGCTACGGTAACGAAAAACTGGCAGTGGGATCCGGGGTCCTGGTTGTCCCCGGTGGCCTCTGGGAAATGTAGTTCCAAGCTAAATTGGCCTGGCCTCAGTGGCCTTTGGGAAATGTAGTCCAGAGGCGTAAAACGGCCGCGCAAGGACTGCCCACCCGGCGCCCTGGGGACTGGGAGTGCGCAGGCGCAGGAGCGCCTGTAGCGCTGGCCGCGGAACTCGGAGCTGGGAGATGACAAAAAATCCTGTAATAGGTACTAAAATGTGTCCTGACGTTAACCTGAAAATATGGTAGCTATTCAGAATAACTTATGTTATTCAATAAAATATTAGTAGGCGAATGTAACCTGGTATTGCTAATAATAGACTAAACATGTGAGGGAAATGTAGCCGCCCTCTGATAAAGCGATTTAATTTTTATTAGATATTAAAATTATAGGCTAGGGGCCGGCGCTGTGGCGTAACGGGTTAACACCCTGGCCTGAAGTGCCGGCATCCCATATGGGCTCCGGTTCTAGTCCCGGCTGCTCCACTTCCAATCCAGCTCACTGCTAGGGAAAGCAGAAGATGGTCCAAGTCCTTGGGCCCCTGCACCCACGTGGGAGACCTGGAAGAAGCTCCTGGCTCCTGGCTTCAGATCCGCGCGGCTCCGGCCATTGTGGCCAACTGGGGAGTGAACCAGCCGATGGAAGACCTCTCTCTCTCTCTCTCTCTCTCTCTCTCTCTCTCTGCCTCTCCTTTGCTCTCTGTGTAATTCTGACTTTCAAGTAAATAAATAAATCTTTAAAAATAAAAATAAAATTATAGGCTATAGTGTTGTGTAGTCTTAAGATTTTTCTTGAGGGGCTGGCGCTGGCATCTCATATGGACACCTGTTTGAATCCTGGCTGCTCCACTTCTGATCCAGCTCTCTGCTATGGCCTGGGAAAGCAGTAGAAGATGGACCAAGTCCCTGGGCCCCTGCACCCGTGTGGGAGACCTGGAAGAAGCTCCTGGCTCCTGGCTTTGGATCAGTTCAGCTCCAGCCATTGCGGCCATCTGGGGAGTGAACCAGCAGATGGAAGCCCTCTCTCTGTCTCTCCCTCTGTCCGTAACTCTACCTATCAAATGAATAAATGAAAAATATTAAAAAAAAGATTTTCTTTGAAAAAGAAAATAAATACAATCAGGCTAATTAAACAACTATTACCTAAATTTAAAAGACATGTATCTTTCTGTCCTACCATGCATTACAGTTTTTTTACTCTTCTTGATTACTTTTCCAGTAACATTTCTCTTGTGGGGAGCAACTCGGACTAGACTAAGTTAATGGAATTAAGACTTATTCTATGCATCTGCTCTCCCACAATATGGCGCTGGGAGAGGAGGCAACAGCTTCTACCCAGCTGCCTCTCACCAACTTGACAAGCTGCAGGACCTGCTCCTGATTGGAGGAGAGCAGCGTACTCGGCGTGTGGGTAGCAGAGTTGGGATTGGTGGAGGAGGACTATAAAGGAGGAGAGAGACAACATGCACCAGGAACATCTAAGGGGAACATCTGAAGGAACACCTGTGCAGCCCCCGAGAGAGCCGGCCGGCGGTGTGCCGCTCCCCCGCGGAAGTGGGGAATGTGGCAGGGGGAACCGCCCTTCCACGGAGGTGGAAGGGACGGCAGCCAACCCGGGAAGAACCAGCAGCAAACCCGGGGAGGGCCGAGCAGACGAAAGAACAGCGCAGGGTCCTGTGTCGTTCCTCCACGAAGACGGGGAGCAACATCTCTGAACTGCCTGGAGCTTTTACGGCGTAGTTCTTTTTGTTTATGTAGCAGCAAAGCTGAATTCAGGCAAATGTAAGATTCCCTTTGCCTTCCAACCCAGCTTTTATTAAGCCCACATCACACTGTCTCCTGTTGTCAGCTCAATAACATTTGAGGACGGAATAGGATTCTGCTTGATGGTAGCAGCAGGCTTCCGGCCTTGGAATTGATTCCCAGCTCTCCACGCGTGTCCATCCGCTGTGTTCTGCAGGCTTTCCCAGGTACAGCGGCTGTGTACGTGCAGACTGCTCCTCTCCCTCTGAACTCCGTTAACCTGGAAACTACAGGGAGAGGGCTTCCTGCCTACTCCCTTCATGTTGATTTTGTAATTGGCCAGATAATACTCTGGCTGCTTCTGCACAGGCATTTTTTGGATAAGATTAACGTTGAAATCAGTGGTCTTTGAGTAAAGCACATTAGCCTTTATGATTTGGGGTGGGCCATATCCAATCAGTTGAAGGAATATAGACTTAATTAATATAGACTTCTTCATGCAAGAAGGAATATTTAAAAAAAAAGATTTACTTATTTGAAAGAGTTACAGAGAGGCAGAGAGGCAGAGAGAGAGAGAGAGAGAGAGAGAGAGAGAGAGAGATCTTCCATCCACTGGTTCACTCCTCAAATGGCCACAACTGGAGCTAAACTGATCTGAAGCCAGGAGCCAGGATCTTCTTCCACGTCTCCCGCATGGGTGCGGGGCCCAAGGACTTGGGCCATCTTCTGGTGTTTTCCCAGGCACATCAGTAGGGAGCTGGATCAGAAGTGGAGCAGCTAGGTCTAGAACTGGCACCTATATGGGATGCTGGCCGTGCAGGCTGCGGCTTAGCCCACTGCACCACAGTGCCGGCCCTGCCTCGTATTTTTAATATGTGTCCTTTTCTGTTTGAATGATGACACTACATTTTTTATTATTGCATTTGAATGGATTTTAGTCTTTTTTTCAGAGATCCAGCCACTGGAGGGAGGAGCCTGCTGTGTATAAGATACTGTGCTCACCTGAAGCTGAAGGTAAACTCACAGGTGCTGAGGGGAACGGGAAGGTCCTCTGTGCTGGTACTCTCACCGGCGGAACTTCACAGACCTGCGTAATGCCAGCACCCAGGACATCTGGGGAACGTGTAAACATGCCTCATGATCTCCCATCTGACTTCCTGGTGCACCTCAGGTCCCTCCTGCGTTGGCTCTATCTTCAGTTTGGCACCGGTGATGGTTCCTGCACGGATCTGTCCTCACTGAATTGGAGAATAAATGACACCGTGACATAAAGTGACGCAGGGAGAGGCAGCTTCGGTCCTTTTCCTGTCGAGGAAAACATCTCTGCACAAACTAATAGAGATGAAGGCATCAGCAAGATTGGGTCACCTGGGCCGTGCTCCTTTATAGCACTTTGCAGAGAGTGACGGGGAAATTCGAAGGGGAAATGAAGATGCTCAGCCTGATCAGGCCACGGTAAGCAGCCGGGTCCCCATGTTGTTGTACCCGGATGTCCGGCAGTGGTGGTGCCAATTATACTGCTCAGTGCTTGGCAGCTAGCATTCCTCTCTCTTCCCCGCCCCCTCCTGCCCTTCCTGCCTCCCTCCCACTTTTCTCTCTTTCTCCCTCTCTCTTCCCTCCCTCCTCTCTCTCTCTCTCCCTCTCTCTCCCTCCCTTCTCTCCTGTTTCACCTACACATTCTTCCCGTTTTCCACACTCTCCCACTCTGCTTCGTAAGGCAGGCATGAGCTGTCCTCAGAAAGAACCCTCAGTATCTTGGGAAGCCTCTGTCTTAGGTGAGGCTTCTAGATGGTGTCCAGATAAAGGGAGGCCCCTGTCCTCCCAAAAGGAGGTGGCGACCACATCTATTAGCCCAGTAGCATGGAGTGCAAATATTTTCTTTTCTTTTTTTAGAATTATTTATTTATTTGAAAGTCAGAGTTATATAGAGAAGGAGAGGCAGAGAGAGAGAGAGAGAGGTCTTCCATCCACTGGTTCACTTCCCAGTTGGCCACAATGGCCGGAGCTGTGACGGTCTGAAGGCAGGAGCCAGGATCTTCTTCCGGGTATCCCACGTGGGTGCAGGGCCCCAAGGACTTGGGCCATCTTCTACTGCTTTCCCAGGCCATAGCAGAGAGCTGGATCAGAAGTGGAGCAGCCGGGACTCGAACCAGCGGCCATATGGGATGCCAGCACTGCAGGTTGGCAGCTTAACCCGCTACGTCACAGCGCCAGCCCCTCAAGTATTTTCAAATGCATCCACTGAAATACATCCCAGATCTCAAGGTGCAACTCGTTCCGTATCAGGCGCTGACTTCAGTGTGACAGACCTGCCAGGGCCGTGAATTGAATGCAGAATAGGAGTGCAGAAGCTCTACTGCATTATAACTGCACCTCGTCAGTAGTTTTCAGCGAAGCCTGCTCTCTTGCTGCAGGGTGAGAATGCCTTAAACAAGGGAGCTTTCTGGCTTTGCTAACATTCTCAGAGTTCATTTATTTTAAAGTCTGACCATTTGTTTTCTTTAGGTATTCTATGGAGGTTACAGAAAACTAACCAATTATACAGTCCTTAAAGTTGCCATTTCTCATGTATTTTTCAAGTTCAAGAGCCTTTGTTACCCCCATACATATGTAGCTCATCTCATTCACCACGGGCAAGAGTTCCAGTAACTGTGATCCTGCAGCATATTGGGGGAAATCAACCCTGGACTGCAGCCAGCAAGTGGGCCTTTGTCCTCTGATGGATTGATGGGTGATCTAATTCTATTTGTTTTTTAAATACTTATTTATTTGAAAGGCAGAGTTAGAGAAAGAGAGAGAGAGAGAATCTTCCATCTACTGATTCACTCCCCAAATGGCCCGGTGGCCAAGGCTGGGTCTGGCTGAAGCCAGGAGCCTGGAACTCCATATGGGTCTCTAATGTGAGTGCTGGGGCCCAAGCACTTGGGCCATCTGTGGTATGGGAGACAGGGGTGGTGGGAGCACCAGTAAAGACCCCGTGCAAACTGGGGCTTGAACACAGGCTACCTCTGAGAGGCAGGAAATGCACCTGAATTTTTTCTCACTGAGGACGAGGAACACTATTTATCCACCCGATTCTGTGCTTAGTAACTGTGGTCACTTCAGGGATTCTGTTGCTCTGGCTGGGCACCACAGACTGGGCCATTTATGAAGAACAGAGGTTGGTCTGGCTCCCGGGTCTGGAGGCTGGGCAGGCCCAGAGTGTGCACTGGCGACTGCTCACCACCTGACCTTTTCCCTGTGTCATGGTGGCAGGCATCATGCGGCGAGATGGAGCAAGTCAGAGAGAGAGTTTGCTGTTATTGCAAAGTCCCTCCCTGGAGAGCCCACGGCTCTCTCAGTCCCTGGCTCCCTCAGTCCACGAGCGAATTAAGACGTTCAAGAAGGCAGAATCTCATGGCCCACGCACCTCTCCATGACGCACCTGTCAGACACCATGAACACATGACTTAGGGGACTGTGTGTCCAATGCATGAAATCTGGAGGACACAGTCAAACTGTAGCAGCCAGAGAGGGTCCCCATCACTCTCGCCGAGTCCGCCACGATCCCTCCTCTGGACCACGGCCTCAGCCTCCTGACGGCTCTCCTCGCTTCAGGGCTCGCCCCCAGCTACCCATCGCTCATCCCCGTCTCTCAGGAGGGGGCAGCTTTCTCCTGGCTTCCTTCAAAGCTTGCACAGCCTCTGCTCTGTCCTCTCTCTGAGCCCCCTCCTCTCCTTGACTCCGTTCCATCCCCGTTGGCTTCAAGGACCATTCCCTGAGGGCACCAAGCGGCCCTCCTTGGGCCTTTGCCGCGACTGACTGCTCCCTGGATTGCTCTTCCACTGACTAACTCTGTGGCTCACTCAACTGCCGCCTTCTAGACTTCGCTTAAATCTCACCTTAGTGAGGCTTGCCCTGTCCATTCAGTGTGAAACCTGAAACCCATGCTTCTCCCCATCCCCAAACTCAACTCCCCATGAGTTGCTTTGTTCTCTACGGCACTGGTTACTGCTGATCTATGAAATAATCTACTTCTTGATTACGTTCCTTGCCTGTGCTCTCCCCTCCAACTAGGATGTATAAACGATTAAGACAGGAAGTTTTCCTTTCTGTAATCGATACTGCATTTAAAATTGTCCCAAGTGCATCCTCGGTACTCAGTAAGTTGGCTAATGGATAAATGAGTGCCTGAGTGGTGTTCTGCATGTTATCTGGAGTTTCACTAGAAACTGAATTTACTGGGGCCGGCGCCGTGGCTCACTTGGTTAATCCTCCGCCTGTGGCGCTGGCATCCCATGTGGGTCCTGGGTTCTAGTCTTGGTTGCTCCTCTTCCAGTCCAGCTCTCTGCTGTGGCCCAGGAAGGCAGTGGAGGATGGCCCAAGTGCTTGGCACCTTCCCCTGCATGGGAGACCGGGAGGAAGCACCTGGCTTCTGGCTTCGGATCATCGCAGCACCGGCCATAGCGGCCATTTTGGGGGTGAACCAACGGAAAAAGGAAGACTTCTCTCTCTCTCTCTCTCTCTCTCTCTCTCTCTCACTGTCTAATTCTATCTGTCAAATAAAAAAAAAAACTAAATTTACTGTATTTTGGCAAAGCCAGTCAAATCTGTTTATTTAGACCAAGGATGGCCAGGATGGTTCTGGTCCTTTTTCAGTCACCTACTTCCATTTTCTGTCAGCTTCTCGCCATCGCCTTTGTCAGTTCCTCTGTTCCAGCTCATGGTTTCCCCTTTGAGTCATCGCAGAACCAGTTAAGCTGTCACTGGGTACATGCACTGCAGTGGGGTTAAGTCGGGCACTGTGCGGAGCCTGCCAGGTTACCCAAAGGGAACGAGCTGGAAAAGCTTTTAGGGGGAGGTGGGAAGCCAGCCTACTAGGAAATGGGTGTGGCTTATCCACAATGGTTTCATCAGAGTCAAAGCCAACCCTGACTCCGCAGTCTGAAGAGCGGCTGCCTACTCGAGTGAAAGCGACTGTGGAATCCCTGGCAGGTGGGCCAGAAAACAGGACACCGGGCAGAGTAGCTCTCCATTGCTGTCCATCAGGACCCCAGGATTTCAGCCGAGGGGTGGTTCCTGGCTCAAAGGGAGGTTTGAAAATTGGCTGGGGCGGAAGTCGCCCGCGACTCGGGGCAGATGCATTAGGGGCTGATGCGGCCGAGGCTGGAACCCCTGCCTTCTTCTTGTCACAAAACGGTGCGGTGGCCGGGATGCACCTGTCTTTGAACAGCCCGCGACCTCCTGGTTCACTTTTAAAATCCGGCAGTACCAGGTTGAGCCCTTAGCAGCACAGCACGACCTTTTCGTGGGAAAAGCTGAATGGTTGGGGGCAAGTGACCTGACTTTCTGTCTCTTTTCTTCCACGATGAGTTTTCTTTCTTTAATTTTTGTTTTTAATTTAGCCTAAGCTTCCTGGTTTACCCTTATCTACAATAAGGGGCCTGGCCACAGCCCCTGACATTCCATCCGACACGTGCCTACCCTTTCAGGTGCTGGCACGAGGGGGGGCTCATCGTCCTGCAGGCAGACGCAGAAGGATGAGGGAGGGGAAGAGTAGCTTCTCCACAAACAACCACAGGACCAATATGGCCACCACCAATTACGCCTTGCTGTATCTAACAGACGTGGGATCTGTGCTTTATTCTGAGGACCGGCTGAGAGGAGGCCGCACGTGTTCCAGGTCAGAAGTTCCAGGCTCAGAGCAGATGCCTTCAGAGAGCTCATGCCTGAGGCTGAAGAAGAAGCCATCTTCCGAGGATTTTCTGGGGTGGACGGGAGAGGTTTGGGGAAAGGTAGTGGGGTACCAAGAAGCCACTTGCAATCCTTATTGTTGAAAACAATAACGTACTAGTGTAGGCCCAAAAAGGATAAGGAGTTAAAGAATACGAAGGGGCTGCTGTTGTGGTGTAGCGCATAAAGCTGCCTCCTGGGACGACGATGCCAGCATCCCACATGGACAACGGCGGAGTCCCCGTTACTCCACTTCCCGTCCAGCTCCCTGCTGATGTACTTGGGAAAAGCAACAGAAGATGGCCCAGGAGCTTCGGCCCCTGCCACCCATGTGGGAGACCTAGAAGAAGCTCCTGGCTCCTGGCCTCAGTATGGCCCAGCCTTAGGGCCATTGCAGCCATCTGGGGAATGAACCAGGGGATGGAAGCTCACTCATGCGCTCTGTCTCTCCCTTTCTTAGTGTAACTTCGACTTTCAAATGAATAAATCTTTTAAAATATATTTTAAAAATTGGCTGGGGCTGCTGAGCATAAAACCAGGTGGACTGGTGGCCTTGGTAGGGGGTGTCTGCTCCAGCTGGCCTGGCCCTGGCGAATGGGGGAAGCTCACAGGGGGTCACCATGGAGACCTGAAGGTGGGTGCCTGTGAGTGGGGATTGGCTTCCATGTGGCTTACCAAATCACACTTGGCCGAGTCCACAGAGTCTGGCTGCACTGGTGACAGTGACCGCAGAGGCCATGCCGAGCTCACTGGTGAAGACGGGAATTTGTGGCAGTGACTAAAGGAATCTGTAAGGAAAAGAGAGGGACTCCATATCCATAGGGGTGGAGGACTCAGTCCTGCGGGTGGTAGACTTGGAGAAAACGGAAACAGCTGCTTTCTCCTCTGGTCTTCGGTTGTCCATCAGAACACATCCGAGTTTTAATTTCTCCTGACAGTAAGATACTTTGAAGATCAGAGTAAAGACTTGTAGCGAAAAGACCAGAATTCAAATGGGCTCTATTTCCACTTGAAAGTGGAATTCTTAACAAAAATACTGAACTTCAAGAAAGAAATGGCCAGAACAGCAAAAAGAAAAAAAAAATAAGGATTGAGTGTCTCATCCCATCATTTCAGGATCAGCATATGGCGTGGGGTTGGTACAGGGGCAGAGGAATTTTGTTAACAGAGCCCGCATCTGGCAGGAGTGGGTGGAGAATTTCTGTTTGACAGCACATCTGTAGCCTTCCTTCCTTCCTCTCCTCTGTCTTCAGTGGGGTTGGAGAACTGGACCAATGGCCTTCAGGAACTTTTCCTTGGCTAAACTTTCTGAACCCATTGTGGCTGGATCCCAAAGTCCCTGCACCACTCTCCTAAAGAGGCAGGAGCCGGCTGGTGCCGCGGCTCACTAGGCTAATCCTCCGCCTTGTGGCGCTGGCACCCTGGGTTCTAGTCCCAGTTGGGGCACTGGATTCTGTCCTGGTTGCTCCTCTTCCAGTCCAGTTCTCTGCTGTGGCCCAGGAGTGATGGAGGATGGCCCAAGTGCTTGGGCCCTGCACCCCATGGGAGACCAGGAGAAGCACCTGGCTCCTGGCTTTGGATCAGCGCAGTGCACCTGCCATAGCGGCCACTTTGGGGGTGAACCAATGGAAGGAAGACCTTTCTCTCTCTCTCTCTCTCTCACTATCTAACTCTGCCTGTCAAAACAAAACAACAACAACAACAACAACAACAAAAACAAGAGGCAGGAGCCCCCCAGCAGGGCCGGCTCCATGAGCTGGGGAAGGCACGACTTCTGACGCCTGAGCTCACAGGGGCCAACTTCGCCTTCTTACTCCGGGTGGCTCCCGGGTGGTTGGAAGGAATGCAGGTTTCCTGCAGAGGCCCAGGCCCCCAGAGCAAGGAAAAAGCATTGGGTCGCTTCCCCAGACGATGCTGATGGCACACTCCATTGCCTGCATGTGATGGGCGCTTCTACGCTTGGGTCACTATTTGGCCATCCTCCATCTTCGGCTGTCCCTTCCTCCTCCCCAGGGCTCGCTCAGTCTTCTTTGGGCTGGCATCTAGGTACTCTGGATGGAACGGAGCTCATGGGGGGAACTTCTTTCTCGCCGGGGTGGTGATGGAGGAGGGTCAGGTTGCACCCTGGATGACAGATCTTAGCTGTCCGGAATGGCCAAGCCTCTTGGAGTTCCCAGTGCCCAGTGCTGGCTCCATCTGAGAGTCCTGCCCAACACTGAGGAGCTTGGAGCCTCCTGGATCGCATAAGCTAAGCAGCGAGACAGAAACCCCGGTGGAAGACAGGCCAGGGAGCGGTGCAGCAGCTGCCGGGTGGGCATGGCCAGTCAGGGGGACCTGGAGCGCGGTGGCCCCGGGAGGCGGGTATGAAGCTCGCCGAGGCCGTTGCCCGTGGACAGCAGCTGCGTGCGCCGTGGGGTCCCTTGGCGCGGAGTCCGGAACCTCAGAGCGGTGTCCTGGCTGCCAACTCCGAGGCGAGGCACAGCGCTCAGCCCCAGGCGGGTGAGGGAAGGGTGCGCGAGCCAAGGGCGCGAAGACATCGCAACGGAGGCCCAAGGGCGAGGTCCAACGGCCCAACCCCTGCTGGCCTCGCGCGCTTCGCGCCTGCTCTCACTTGGTGGCGGGCGTTTGGCACCGAGCGGGCCCCCCGCCGTAGGTGGCGACCGATCAGGTCTGCAGGGGCTTGCCCAGCACCGGCCACCGGGGGCAGGAGCGTCCGCCACCTCTGCCTGTGAGTCCACCAGCCCTTGTCACGAAGACCTTACCCAAAGGCAGAGAGGCGGGAGCAACCTTGATTCTCCCGGGATACGAGCTGGACTACGGGAAGGGGGTGGGGCAGGGGAGAGGGGCTGCTGACCACATCCCGGGCTGGCAGGCGGGTTCTCTCCACTGCTCGCTGCAAGTTTGCTTTTTAAAAAGGCGTGTGAGCCTTAGAACCCTTCCCCCCGGCCTGACAGCTGGTAGTGGCCCTAAAAGGACTTCTTGTCCCAGGCGCTCAGACTCCAGAGCCCCCGAATATAACCGTTTGAGCCACAGTGTCTCCCTGTGTCATGGACGCGTCGTGAATTGATGCTTTCTATGGTCTTCGGGATACTGTGCACCAGGCACCCCTGTAGTGGGCACAGGCACTTCCTGCTGGAAGGCCGTGTTTGGCTCGGCTGCTAAGCAGACCATGGGCCACAACTGGGTTGTCAGCCCAACCCACAGGCTGTTTCTCTTCAAGCTGACCCATACAGTCAACCACCTGTCACCTGTGTAACGACAGGAGATGGCACATCCGCGGGGTGCAGGATCCACCTGGCTTAAAACCCTGGTGTCACCAAGGGCACCGATGTCTCTGGTGACAATTTTTGTTGGCTGGATTTTAGTGTCCTGGCCCAAATTGATGTTTTGCCAATATTAGCTTCTTCCGCGCACCACATGGGGTGTATCTCACGCATCTCCATACAGCTGGGTCTTTTACGTTTTCTCTCAGCGACACTTTGCAGTAATAGCAAATTATGTAACCCATGAGCCATTTGGAACTTAGCCTGATTTTGTAAGGTCAATAAATGAAGAAGGAGATTAGTATGTTGAAAGGGTTGTAAAGAAAGTTTTAAAAAACCAACAGGAATCCAAAGAATATGTTGAGAGATCAGTGCAGTGTGACCTCCAAGGCCTGTGTTATTTATTATCCGGCCCTTAAGGGAGGAAGTTCGCTCTTGCTTTTATGATTTTCTGTGTGGAGTCTTGGTCAGCTTTGTGCTAGTTTATCCTCTCATATTTTATGGGATTTGGAAATGTTCTTTAAGTGGTTTTAAATTTTATTGTTGAGTAGGTCATTGGTAATACACAGAAAGTACATATATATGTGTGTGTATGTATGAGGGCACTTCAAAATTTCACAGAAAAATTAAAAGAAGTTGAATTTGGCACAAAAATTGTTTTAAATCCATATATGTTTTGTTCAGAATACACATTTTTTGTGAACTTTTCATCCTTTTAAAAAGTTATTTGTTTGAAAAGGAGACAAGGTGAGACTTTTTTTTCAAGATTTATCTTATTTTATTTATTTTGAATTTATTTTATTATATATTTATTTTATTTATTTAGAAAGACAGAGTTACAGGGAGAGGTAGAGACAGAGAGATTTTCCATCCACTGATTCACTCCCAAATGGCCACAATGGCCGGAGCTGCGCCAATCCGAAGCCAGGAGCCAGGAGCTTCTTCCGGGTCTCCCACATGGGTGCAGGGGCCCAAGGACTTGGACCATCTTCTACTGCTTTCCCAGGCCATAGCAGAGAGCTAGATTAGAAGAGAAACAGCTGGGACTAGAACCAGCACCCGTATGCAATGCCAACACTTCAGGTCAGGGCTTTAACCCGCTGTGCCACTGCCCCGGCCCCTGACAGACATCCTCTCTCTACTGGTTCACTCTCCAAATGCTCATGGCAGCCAGAGTTGGACCATGCCAAGCCGGAAGCCCAGAATTCAATCAGGCTTCCCATGTGGGTGACAGGGACCCAAGTCCCTGCTGCCTCCCAAGATGTGCATCAACAGAAAGTTGGGCTCAAACGTGGAGCCAGGATGTGAAGCCAGGGACTCGGATGATGGACTTTTTGAAGCTCTCTCATCATGGATATATTTTTAGTACTCGTGTATACAATACTTTTGTGCATGTGTGTGTGTACACACACATATATATATATCACAAATATATATGTAGATGTATTTACGCTGGCACCTTGCTAAATTCACCTTTTATTTCTGGTAGTTGTATTCTTTTCTTGGCATTAGGATTTTGGTGGTCACCTAGAATGAGTTAGGAAAAATTACCTTCTCCATGACCTCAAAGAGTATGCGTCACACTGATGAAATGTCTGTCTTTTATATTTGATAGAACGCACCAGTAAGACCATTTGGATCTGCAGTTTTCCTCCTGGAAAGGTTCGTTTGTCCTTTGCTGTTCTTTTAATATTTTAGATCTGTATTTGTGCCCCATTTTTATTGTTAAATTTTTTGTTTTCCTTTTTATAGCTTTGTGGTATCGTTCCTATAACAATATCACTTCCACACTTAAAGAATACAATTTGGTGGTTTGTATCAGAGTCATGCATATATAAAACCATCACCAGGGCAAGATTTAGAGATTTCTATATTTAGAGATTTATGTTTTTATTTATATATTTATATGAAATATTTAGGCTATATTTATATATTTATATTTTATATATTTTAATTTTATATTTAGAGATTTAATATTCAGTTACCAGCTGCTCCTCTCCAATTCCCAAGCCCCAGGCAGTCCCAATCTACTTTCTGCTTCTATGACTTTGCTTATGTGGACAATTCACATGAATGGAATCATGTAACACTTAGCATAATGCTTTCAAAGTTCATCCATGTTTAGCATGCATGTTTTTATGACCAAATAATATTCCGTTACTTGCATACACCACGTTTGTTTATCCATTCATCAGCTGATGGGCAAGTGGGTTCTTTCCACTTTTTGGCCCTTCTGAATAACGCCACACTCAGGTGTGAGTTTTGATGTGGATAGACTTTCAGTTCTCTTGGGGATGTGCCTTGAGCCAATTGCTGGGTCGTATGGTAGCTTTGTATTTAAGAGTTTGAGGAACTAAAAGACTGCTTTCCTAAGTTGCTGCACCATTTCACATTCCCACCAACAATGCTGAAGGTTCTAATTTCTGCATGTTCTCACCAACACTTGCTATTATTTGGCTTTTAAAAAATATTTATTTATCTGAAAGGCAGAGTTACAGAGAGAGAAGGAAAGACAGAGCTTCTGTTGGTTCACTCCCCAAATGGCCACAACAACCAGGGATGGGCCAGGTTGACACCAAGAGCCAAGAGATTCATCTGGGTCTCTCATGGGGTGTCAGGGGCCGAGGACTAGGGTCACCATCTGCTGCCTTCTAAGGCACATTAGCAGGGAGCTGGATTGGAGGTGGAGCAACTGGGACTCAAACTGGTACCCTTATGGAATGCCAGCATTGCAGGCAACAGTTTAACCCACTAAGCTACAATGTGGTCCCTATTTGGCTTTTGATTCTAGCCATCATAGTGAGGGTGAAATAGTATATCATTCTGGTTTTTATTTGAATTTCCCTGATGATTAATGCTGCCCAACATCTTTTCGTGTGCAAATTGGCCATTTGTATGTCTTTGGAGAAATACTGATTCAAATCTTTTGTCTATTTAAAAAGGGTTTGCTTATTTATTTGAAAGGCACAGTGACCAAGAGAGGGAGACAGATCTTCCATCTACTGGTTCACTCTCCAAATGCCCATGACAGCCAGGGCTGGGCCAGGCCAAAGCCAGAAGAGAGGAACTCCATCAGGGTCTCCCATATGGGTATCAGGGGCCCAAACACTTGGTCCATCCTCTTCTGCTTTTCCCAGGCCATTAACAGGGAGCTGGATCAGAAGTGAAGAAGCCAGGACTCGAACTGGTGTCCATATGGGATGCCTGCATCACACCCACTGTGCCACAATGCCAGCCCCACCTTTCAATTTCTTTATGATAGCCTTTGAAGTTAGAAAGTTTTTCATTCTGATACAGTCTGTCTATTTTTTCTTTTGTTTGTGCTTTGTTGTCATACCTGAGAATATTTTGCCCACTCCAAAGACATGAAGGTTTGTCGCTCCCCCTCTTCGTGGAGGAACAACACTAAACCCTGCCTAGGCTTCATATCCGAGTCACGGCACCATTATGTCGCTCCCCCTCTTCGTGGAGGAACGACACTAAACCCTGCCTAGGCTTCATATCCGAGTCACGGCACCATTATGTCGCTCCCCGTCTTTGTGGAGGAACGACACAGGACCCTGCGCTGTTCTTTTGTCTGCTCGGCCCTCCCCGGGTTTGCTGCTGGTTCTTCCCGGGTTGGCTACTATCCCTTCCACCTCCGTGGAAGGGCAGTTCCCCCTGGCCACATTCCCCACTTCCGCAGGGGAGCGGCACACCGCCGGCCGGCTCTCTCGGGGGCTGCACAGGTGTTCCCCTTAGATGTTCCCCTTAGATGTTCCTCGTGCATGCCGTCTCTCTCCTCCTTTATAGTCCTTCCACCAATCCCAACTCTGCTACCCACACACCGAGTACGCTGCTCTCCTCCAATCAGGAGCAGGTCCCACAGTTTATTGGTTGAACTGGAGGCAGCTGCGTAGAAGCTGTTTCTCCCTTCTCAGCGCCATATTGTGGGAGAGCAGATGCATAGAATAAGTCTTAATTCCAGTAACTTAGTCTAGTCCGGGTTGCTCCCCACAAAGGTTTACTCTTACATTTTCTTCTACGAGTTTTACAGTTTTAACTCTCACATTTAGATCATTGATCTACTTTGAATGAATTTTTATAAATGGTGCAGATATGAGTCAAACTTCATTCTTTTTCCTGTGACTGTTAGTTGTCCCAGAACCATTTGTTGAAAAGATTTTTCCCCATTGAACAGTCTTAGCACTCTTACCAAAATCCAGGGCCATGTGTTTGGCATTGCTATTAAGATGCTGCTTGA